GCTATGTGATAATGACAATGTTTTGTTTGATTGCAGACGCATGCGCCGTAAAACAATGACTAAGAACCAATATTTCTTGGGGGGGGCACGTGTCCCTCGGCCCCCCCGGTTCCGCCGCCTCTAAACTACTGAAAAAAGAAATGGGATGTTTTTTTAACCATGATCCTACATTAACACTATAATTATTTGATTCTTTAGTAAATTTAGCCGATTTTTCTTTACGGTAGTGAAGTCTGGGGGACAGACAATGATATGAAGACTGACAATCCAATTGAGTCAGTTTATATAAAATTTTGCAAAATGCTACTTGGGGTTGGAAGAAAAGGCCACCGATTCGGCTGGTCTAGCCGAATAAGGTCAACTTCCCATAAATCTAGATCAGTAGATGCAAAATTAAGATCACTTAAGTTTTGATTAAACAAAGCAAAACTCGAGAACCGCCAAAAACGGTCAGCAATTGTATATAGAGAGTCATTAGCAACAAACAACAATAACTGGTGTAGTAAAGTAAAATCTTTATTATACCGAAGCGGATTAGGAAATATCTTGCTCGAAGTAAACTGCAATTATCGTTCAAGTCGGAATCCATTCAAAATAATTAAAACTAGATTAACGGGTATAGAAATTCAAGTCTGGCGAGGGGAACTCCGCTTCAACGATAAAAAAACTAGAAGAGGCCCGGCCTTCTAAGCAAAATACGTCCACAACTACATACAATACAGAATTATCATAAAATGTGGTCTTCTTACGGCCCAAACTAGGCACTAAATAGTAACTACACGTGTATACCAAATAGGAGAATATGTGAACCGCGTAGCACTTATGAAATACATGACGATATAGAAATATAGATAAGTTATAGTGCTTGGGAACGAGGGTATTCCGGGCGAAAGCTCTTGAAATTAAATTAATTTTAACATAATAGGAATTACTATAAATCAACAATTATGGCCTTCATACATTTATTCGGGTAAAATGTCTATGTAATAATAATAATAATAAACTTTATTTAACACAGAATCCATAAAGTTAAAACTTATTTACAATGGAGCTGTGTAAAATACACACACACACACACATGTATATCTTAACGCTTGATACTGAATAAAAAAAGTCTGTCTGTCTGTCTGTCTGTCTGTCTGTCTGTCTGTCTGTCTGTCTGTCTGTCTGTCTGTCTGCCTGCCTGCCTGCACAACTGAGCCCTCTGAACCCTGACCCTGTTCTAGAGTAAAATCGCTGAAATTCATACCCTGTTCCAGAGTAAGATCGCTGAAAGCCATACCCTGTTCCGGTATTGCAAAAACTGAATAGATGCCCTGTTCCAGAGAGGAGAGAGCGTGATTTCATATACCCTGTCAGTCCAAGAGCGAGCGCAATTTTATATACCCTTTTCCAGCGTAGAATGGCTGAAAACCATACCCTGTTTGGCGGGAATRTGTTATTCAAACGGTTTAGACATATCGAATCTCATGTGTCGAAATTATTGCAAATGTCAAGACCTATTGTTTGAGCTGAGTTTGGATGTCTAAACCGGCCAAACGAAGCTGATCTAGTTGAGCAACAATATCGTTAAAACAGAGTATGCGCCACGTTACAGTTATTTTAAAGATAGAAAATGTCAACGATCACTTTACTAGAATAAAAACCGACAGGAATAGTTTGCGTACAGTAAAACCCCGCGTATAAGAACCTAGATTTTTCCAAGTCAGCCTGAACAGGTTCTTATATTAATGGCGCTTAACTTGAAATCAGGCTATCTAGGTTCTTAAATGGGTTTCTAATTTTTGGTAAGAAAAAGAGTAATTGTATTGGTGGGCGTGGCATTTTATACATTAAATAATTCACACATTTTCATGCTAGCTACATTGAATATAGTTTAGATTTTATTTCATGGACACAGTGTAAGCACTCTTACATACAGAGTACTGTATTTTATTATTTACAAGAAAATAAAACAGATTGACTTTATATTTGGAAATTAAGAACCTACTTTGTCATTTCAGCCTGAAATGGTTCTTATGTGAAGGGTGCTTAAAATGAAAATTTCAGCCTGACAGGTTCTTAAACTTTAGGTTCTTATATGCGGGGTTTTACTGTATTCATATGAAATTTCGAAATTGTATCTAAAAATTGCTACATTATGAGGATCGTCAATGTGACAGATAAGGTATCCAGATGCGTCTGACCTCGAGTCCATATTTTCTACCACGGTCCATGTTTTCTACGTCCGGTCCATGTTTTCTCCGGTCAAGTCCAGTCCATGTTTTAGACCATGCCTCATAGTGAACGTGGGTATGTGTTGTGTATTGAATTTCACGACAGTAGAAGGAATCGTAAATGTTTTTGATGATTGATAAATAATATATTTTTATATAAAACTGTTCATCAAAGTAATGTGGTTATGCAAAGGATGTATATAATATGTGTCTGAATGCCGTGTGTGATGTGATCGTGAACTGACCAAGCACAATACCAATGAAAAAGTACAAAAATGTATTTCGAGCTTTATAAGTAACAACACACTAAAATTATCGAAAATTTATGGTTTTATCAAATATACGAGTTGGAAGAAAAGGAATAAAATTCGTGTCAGGTTTGTACAAAAAGTTAGAAGAAAACCAATTTGTATGAAAAACGTGCTCTTTAAATAAGACTGGGGTTACAAAATATATTTGAGAAGAACCAAAGTAAGCGCCACTGCTGTAGCTGGTTAAGAATAATCTGGAACTCCATACTCCGAGCCTTATTCTCTAGAAATTGTGGACATCAATCCTTTTCTTATTACACAGCATTTTAATGAAATTTGTTTTGCGCGTGGGAAGTAAACATATTGAAGAAATCAACGGGTATAGAATGGAGCAATATAAACCCTACCTAGATCCGCCCCTGCTTTTGATAAAAACTACATCATCATATTCTTGTTATCGTCATCCAAACCTTGTCATGGTATATTGACGCAAGCTGGTAAGGTAGCCATTCTGCACGAAGGAAAGGACAGAATTGGTGTATTTAGGGGGGGAAAAAAGACGTAAAAAGAGGTATGGGCAGGGAGAATCGTTCGCGGGGTGTATTAAGGAAAATCCTGCTCAGATCCAGAAAGTATCGGCTAACCCTAACCATGCACACTTCTAAGATGATGATCAATTCTAATTTAAGCTAAATATAATGTTTCTCTTGGGCGATTCATGGACTAAAGTGGTGATCGAGAAAAGAATAAAAAAATCAATGTAGGAAAATCACAAGCAGACRAAGCATTTTATCAGTATTTTATTCGTCGATGCTTCACTCATTTTCAACAACTTATAAATAAATTAACAAATCAAAACTTACTAGATGGATGGATAAAAAGAGAAGAAGATTTCATTATGTACATCAGTACGCAAGCTACGTGGCATATTTTGTATTCGGCGATACCGATTTAATTAAATCTTTGAAGGTTGACACGAAACTTTGAAAAGAAAGCACTAGAATTTATTTTTTCGGTTCTCACGTTCAAAGGTCATTCATTAGATGTTTATTATTTATTCTACACAGATACCGATCCTACATCCTATTAGTTAGTCTGTGCGTGACGTCAATCGCTTTATCTTCTATGATCTTTTTATTTAATTTTCTGCCATCATTTGTTTTTAAAAGATTTTCTATTGTAAAGTCCTAATTAAGTAAAGTTATTTTAGATTGAAGGCTCAATATTTAGGATTAATTACTCCTTTATTTCTATTCTTTTCCGGATGGCAGAGAGTCAATGTTTTCAGGTACCAAAACTAGGATCAGCAGAAGTCGATTGTCCGTTAATTCTACTAAGAAAAAATACTAACTTATCAGTAAAACACTAATTTCAAATGAAATAATATGAAACTGAGATGGAAAAAAAATGAATACTGGCACTATGAAACAGAAGACTGAAAGCTGGACTCTTTTACTGAAAAACACTAGAAGAACTGACAAAATAAAAGATAAGCTGCAATTTCAGTGTCAAGGATGTGTTTTGTTATGAAATTTCAGTTTACTTAATGACGAGTATATAGATAAAACTAGAGGTTAACAGCAACAGGAAAAATAAGCACTTTGTTTTGTTTAGTGGCTTCGGTTATGAAGCTTCCTCTTAAAGAGCCTAATGATTCAGAGAAAAGCTATTGAGTGGGTGAATTTTGAACTTGACTAGACAACTCGGTATTCCTTTTTCTCTTTTAGATATTTTTTCGTTAAAATGATTTAATTTGATACCGCCCAGTCGATGACGTCTAACGATACAGTTACAAGTAGAATCCAACACTTTGCTTATCCAGAAAATGTCAAATTATATTATATGAATATAACAAGAATATAATTAGATTGCTAATGGCACACGTTTGTATTAGAAAACTTCCACTAGAGATTTTCGGCGTCGTGGTCGGCTACCATAATTAATTTTTCTCGCATTCCAAAAATGTGCACCATGGTTTCAACTCAAATAATATTATAGAATAAACCTTTCTAATGACTTATATGCTTGTCTTCAGTTAGTGACTGCTTACGAACCGGTGTAGTCAGTATCACTGGGGAAATCCGGGTGAAGTGAGGATCAACGAGTGGTAAAAGATGATGACTGTACTACTATAGAGATTAACATTAGTTATGTGCTCAATATCAATGTGCTAATTAACACACATTCATCTTATATCCATCTTATTTCTGTCTCTATTATCTTCAAAATCTTTCTTACTCAGAACATTAAATTATTTGCTTATAACAAAACATTGTTGACAAAGCAAAACTTGGCACGCTTGACTGACAAGAAGCGTGATGAATTGATTGATTGTTCACTTTTGAAAACTATTTCAAGTTATTTTCAATACCATTTGTTTGGCAGGGATTCTATGACATTCTCTCGGTTAAAGGTATTCCCACAAGCGTTTCTTCCTCGTTTTTCTTTTGTTCATGTATTCGAAACAGAGTTAGAAGGGTTTTTCTATATTTTGGAAGACGCCAAGCATAAATGAAAGGATCTGCGCACACTTTTACAAACAGTAAAACATCTGAGATCCTGAGCACCACCAGGAGGTTAAGCTGTGACTGTATTGTTAGATCTTTTGCGAAATAAAGATAAACGTAAACTGCCAGGACATGTGGGAGTGCACAAAGAAGTAAAATAGCACCAAGGTAAATGCTGACAATGGTAAACTGTTGATCTAGGGTCCTTTCTACTTGTTTCCGTCTTTTCGATCGCGTTTCATTTTCAGAGGTCAGAGGTTTTGCAGAGAATTCCTTGTGTAAGTGGGCACGGCGCCTGTACGCTCGGTAAAGCAGAAGCGACACAATGAGAAGATTAATGGAGAGGAACGACGAGTTGCATACAAGGTCGATTTTGTGAAACGTGTAAGGATCAAGAATGCCTATAAACTGAACGGCGGTAAAGAAAACTAGATAAAGGAAGGCTAAAATCATGAAAATCACAATGTTACGATTTGTTACAAATCGTCTGTACTTGTGAGGCCAAGATATAGCTGTAAACTGCGACCAGGACAATGCTAGTACAACCAAAAACGAGTATTTCAAGGCGACTCCAGATATGATTCCTCCAATTTCGTACAGCACGAGCGGTATTCCCTTTATGTCGACGTCTTGGACAAATCGAATGAAATAGTAACTGGTAAAGAAAGGCTCTGTTGTTACGCCAGTTATCAAATCAGCCATGCTCAGCCCTACGATAAAACATTTAGCAACGGATTTGAAGCATTTTAAGGGATCTTTCCAAATGGCTATCAAAAGGAGAATGTTGCTTGTCGTAGTTACGATAGAAAGGATTGATAGACAGCATGCACTTGTTATGGCCAGCACACGTTTATAGCTTTGAATTTTTTGTTGTTCTACGAAGGTTTCGTCTGTTGAGTTCATCTTTGCTGGTTTGAAAACCAAGTTCCTTCTCTAGATGGTGTTTCAAGTACAGTGATTTGGTAGTGGTTTCCTGTGCCGTTGCAGTTAGGCGTTGTCATCAGGTATCTGAGTCGTAAGGTTGACACGAAGCGATGGACTTGACTAATTTAGCCCTTGCTGCTTTAAGTTTGACTGAATTCGATTTGTTATATAGTTGGCAAGCTATAGAGAATTGGCTTATCCATTCTTGAAAGGTCTGATAGGATTGGATAGCAATTCTTAGTACTCCTTAGTCAGCAGGTGTTCGATAATGCTGCATGTCCAAAATACGTCAAATGATGTCAGATTGTTGGTTTTACCATCTAAAACATCGGTAATGACGGTACTTTGGTAATATTTCTAAACAGCAGCTAATATCGCAGTTTTTCCATATCCAGCGACTACTAATGTTTCGCTTTAGAATGATAGCATATATTTAATTCATTACGGGTATTCAACWGTGTGTATATTTACCAATGCTTATATTTTATATTTGTTGATTTGAATGGTGAAGTTGACATCCCAATATAACCACTGATCTGTCAATCACTTACATTTTACCAAAAGAATATAGTGTGTATGTAGGCTGGACTATGAATCTATTCGATATCAAGTCGTCATGACAATAAATCGGGATATATTCATATGCTATGCACGATCAATTCAATTTAGTCTCTTCCTTTTAAGTCGTATTCTCTTATCATTTCAAGAAAAGTTTAATTAAAGAAGCTGCGTTTGTGTTTCTTTGCTTCGATCACTGTTGTTTACCTTGTCAGTCAACTTTTTCGTAAAGTACAATACGAATTAGCAAGAAAGTGGGAAAGCGATTGATTTTGATATAATTAAATTGTCCAAATAAGTCGGATTTTCGCACTTATTTTAAATCAACTTAGCAATCTTATAAGCCGGCTCTAGACGCGATAGCGCTTTTTACTATGAAAATTGGGTTTTCACGGTTATTGTAGTAAGACTCTAATCTCGGTAAGGTATGAATAAAATAATTTAAATTATTGGAATATGACTAACCGATCTAAGTCTTTGGCTGGTTTTAGCTTTTTAAAGGCTTTTCTTTCAGTTTACTATCACGTATATCGATCAAAGAACTTCTTTTTCGTTTATGCTTTGACACTATGAGAAAATAAACCATAGACAGCCTTAAAAAACCTTTAGCATAAGAAATGAGTGAAAAATAAGATTATTATTAAATGTCACAGATAAAAAAGAAAATTAAAGGATTCATCAGACTAATTATTGTTTTACCTACTAGTATTCCTTGTTTAGGAATGAACAATATCGTAGAAAAATATGAAGTGCACACTTATCTATAAAACTCCCTGAGTAGTGACATCAATGATAGTGAGAATATTGGCTAAGTGTCATCGTTATTTTGCTCACGCAAATTATTTCTTGCCAAATGATTACACTATCACTTTTGGTAACACAGCAAAATATTTTTTCGTTTGGTTCTGAAAAACAATTTTCGCACATGATAGTTCTTAATTTCAGAGTTATCTAGTTAAGTTGAAAAAGAATAACAACTGAAGGCAGCAAACAACATTTAAGTTTTGTCCGCAGTTTTGTTTTGTTGAGTAAGCCCAAAGTAGGAAACATGACCACTTGCAGGACACTTATTAAGTATCTTTTCATATCGATATGTATAATATTCTAATAGTAGCTTAATGTTTATACAAACAAATAAGAACTAGATAGATCATATTGGGGGAGGGCTGGGTTTCGCAGTTCAAATTTAAAAAAGAAAACAGCTTTTGTCAAAATAAAAAGGTTTGACCCTTCAAAAAAGTTCAAATTTTTCAACTAACCCTCCCCTCTAAAGATCTAGTGACGCACGGTAGGGATGACTAAATAATGCATATAGCAAAGATATGCTCGGCGTGTGGGCCGCCGTAAGACGAAAAATCAGTTTTCCTGTTTTGTCAATCGGAGTTTTTTTTAACCGACTTAAATAAAAACAAGTTTATTTCATTAAAATAAGATGATTATATAATAGTTTTGGCTCAAAAACTAATCTTGTTTACTGAAGATAAGCTGTAATTTACCTATCGGGATTTTTTAGTGCATCTTTTCAATTTATCCTAGCCGGCTAAAGTTAATTTTAAACATTCTTTACTAGCAATCTGAAAGCTCGGGCATTTCTCAATGGGATTTCCAAAGTGATGAACCTGAATCGCATTCGCCGTCAGTGACCATCAGTATTCCTGTTATGCGCGGCTAATTTGTAAATAAACCCCTTCTGTCGGCTGGGATATCGGTTGGTAATGTCCAAGGACGAGAAATAGTCCAAAAATTAACAGTTGGCCAAGAACCAAAGCATATGAGGGCATATGTGATATTTTGAGAAAAATACCTAGGTAGTAGAAGGAGAAAAATTAACGCAGAACTTTCAACACCCCCAAACAAGCACTTTTGAGGCTCTTTTGCATTAAAAAAAATCCAGTATCCAGGTTCAATGTGGTTTTATCGGGGAGGCCAATTATAAGTCTATTTATATTATTGCTGTCAAAAACCCTGACGGAAACTCGGAATATTTGAAACTATCTTGTGCGTACAAAATGCAGAGTACTACGAGACCGGGTAAAAGCACATTATAAATCTGTAGAAGCGTCAGACCTCAAGTCAGCCATATCATATATTATCGATTCGGCAAATATAAAGATAATCGACCAGCCAACAAACTTATTATCTCGCAGACTGCGCGATGCGATACACATTAGCCGGAGAAAACCATGCACTGGACAAAGATAATCAGTTGCCCCCAGTACAGGAGACGATCGTATAGCGTCGTTCTGAAAACGAGGCTGTGCGCCAAAATGAAAACCGTTATTGACAAAGACTACTGGATGGGAGTCGAAAGCTATGAGTGCTTTTAATTATCGCTTCTGAGAAAGAGTAACTGTTTCCTTTTTAATCAATGTCCCAGCAAAAGAATATAAATTTCATAATGATTATTAGTGTTTTATCAAGGCCCGCATTTTGCAAAAAAACCCTGCAGGATTGCCCAGGATCCCTGTGGTTTTTATCAGAGAGCCCAATAATTAAGCTCTATTTCTATTATTAGCAACTGTTCAAAAGATCATCAATAATTCTTAAGTCTCTGATCCAACTGGAGCGACCATACACTTCAAGTGCATGGACCTTTACATGTATACCCGATAAAGTCTTCATATACATAACAAATATTAATGAGGATAATTGCTTGCCTCTCACTAAGCCAGGTGACCTAGGCTTGAGTCCACTGGAGCTTGGTATTGTATGTGAATAGAGTCGTTTGTTGGTTCTCTCCTGCTTAGAGTAATTGGCTTTCAGGGTTTTTTGTCCAGGCTCTATGCTTCTTCGTCCTTATTAGTATTCTGTTCATAAAGAATACTAATGAGGATGACTTTATCAGTGATGCAGTACATCCAAGTTTAGGTAAGGTGTTTAATAAACGAGCAGGAGGATTCTATCCGGATTAAAAACAAAAGGCATAGCTAAGTGGTTTTAGACCTGATAAGACACGATCTGCGAGTTTATTAAACAGCTTCAAAAACTCTTGGAGCAACATACCATACACAGTCACAAACATGGACTTTTATACTTGTATAGAGGTTTCTACATCATTAACATGTGCAGTTAGTCCAAACGGCTCCCACAAGTTGAAGTAATATTTACAGGGTTAGTGAGTGGCCGTGTTGTATCAGATATACAACCACGAGGCATAGCCTAGTGGTTGTATATCTGATACAACACCGACACGAATACTGTATATGACTTATCAAACGTCTAGGTTACTTCCTTTGTGTTTCACTAAAATTTTCAAAATTAAAGTGAATCTGGCCAAGAAAATCCAACTTGAAGTTTATGCAAATGAACACAGTTTTGCATCAGATTTACAACACTCTTCCCGGTTGTGATTTCTGTTGTGTTTTCCTCATGAATTATTAAGGAGTTTGATAAGGCACCAAACCAAACTCAAGACAGGAATGCTGGTCATGTTTACATGATGATGTTTACAATATGAACGGCTGTGTTGTATTGACTATACAAATATGAGCCATAGGCAAATGATTTTTTGGCCAATGTGAATGTTGTAAAAAGCTTGTGAAAAATCCTTTGGGTCATTTTAAATTAATATCCAAATTATATACAACCCCTAGTGCTGTATCAGAACTGTTTACAACTACTAGTGATTGTATATATAATTAGCATGTATCGGGCTTACATAGATTCATGTGACCTGATTTCTAAAGCTGGATTGGCTTAGACCCACATCAAATATTCATGAATTTTACAAGTACTATATATGTGAGCACTTATAGAATCTTACCAGTTATGGGTAGATATTACAAGCCATTCTTTACTCCTTTTTCTGCAGTGTTGTGCTTCAATTTGATTAACAAATCCTCAAACCATCATGAACTAACCTATAGGGATACCATACAAAAAGATAATAAGTAAAAAATAACAATAACAATAAACTACAATATGGCTGCTTCAAAAAACATCTGATCAATTCTTTTCTCAATGAATATTAATCTGGTATACTGATGTATCTCCTTGTGTGTATGTGCGTGCGTATATTTGTATTTGAAATTTGTATTTTTCTGCTTTTTTATTTTGCTATTTATCCTTGTTACTTTTTTGTAAACATAGTATTCTGCAATTTTCTGACCTCCTAGTTGCCTAACTCAATTAGCGTTTCAGCTATTTTAGGTAGCTGTGCTCGTGTTTTTGCAATTTTAAATTTATGTTTCATATGTAATAATCTTTCCTCCTTGAGTGCAAATAAACTATTGTTGTTGTTGTTGTTGTTGTTGTTGTTGGGCTAAAATAAAGCAATTTAAGAATGTTCATATTTGGACAATACAACTGATGATTTTAGGGAGGGAGGGTAGGGTGAAAACGCGTAAACTACAGAACGATGAACACCGCAATAAGAAACACTCCACTTAATGTACGCCATCTAGTTACATAGCTATGTCCTGGTGACAGGTAACCGGATCCCTACCGCTCCACTCCCATTAACCTATGTTAATACTTATCATCACTTAAAAGTTATGCATCTTCTAGTGATGGGATATATGCCTTGCATGGCATGGCTTGTGATGACAAAAAGTATAGCTTCTGGACTTGGTGCTTGATGACGGAAGATATGTGTTTGTAATGTAATGAGCTGTTGTGATTGTAATTAGAAGCAATAATGAAGCAGTCAGGTGTTATTTTGACTGGTAATTTGGATTGCAGATTTTTCATTGCAGATGAACTTTAAGCGAAGAGTGTTTTGGCAGTTATTGAAGTATATAAATTATTTAGCAGCAGAATATATGGTAAGTAATATAGAACTGAGGCTTACCTGGTGAATATATAAAGCTTTGTGTGACAGGCTGTATGTTGTTGAATGAAAGGTCACATTGAACTGGAAGGAAAATGTGGAGTATTAGAGGGTAGAAAGTTGCTAAACAGGCATTAAAAGCCCAAGGAGAGCAGCTGATATCTTTGGTTTGGAGAACAATTAAGCTTACTGACCATAAAGGAGAGTTTTTGGTAGTATGCAGCAGTGAGGGGAACCATTAGTTGACAGACATATTAGCCTACTATTTAACAATTACATTATGAGGTCAAGTTTTCTATGTTATTAGATAGTTAATGAGGCGAGTAGCACCGAATCAACTATTTGACTCATAGAAAACAAGCATGAGTAGTATAATACTTTTAGCATAAGCCTACTAGCTAATATTATAGTATTCAAAACAAAGAATGAAACTGAAAACTTTACTGAAGAAAGCGACGGTCAACCGGCGGCACTCAGTTTTTATTCATATTTGCTCAAAGTTTTAAGGTATAAGCTTAAACTCGCTGTATTTCTATAGCTTTCTCTCTCTATTACTACCAATATTTTTTACCTTCTTACCAGTTTTTGGGATCATTTCCCTTGTACTTAATCAGTGATAAACGGAATTTAAGATTTTTGTCAGATAACTTGCACTTTCTTTATTGTTTCGTCTTTACTCACTGTTTAAAATTCTTCTTGAATACATGTGATTAAGTTGTCTTTTCGATTTTTCTGTTCATTGAGGGAGATCCTCTTAAAATGCCATCCTTATCTCAGTAGACATTTGTCAGTCATAAGTTTGCACATGAAAATGTCAGTGAAATCTGATGGCCACTTATTCATGTTAGAATTGCAAAAATTCTTCAGCTTTTAATAAATATCTGTTTCATCCAAAAAATCCAATCACAGGATAGAAAATAAGTACATTAGCCAATCACTGATTATAGGATTCGTGATAGTATGCTAGCTACCCGGGGGGGGGGGGGGGGGTACTCCGCCAGAATTTGGGTAGGGGTGTTCCGCTGGGATTCTGAAAGGGGTACCCTGTTTATGACAAAAAAACTCGAATTTGTAGACCCTGTTTATGACAAAAGATATAATTTATTGCACTGAGTTCCTGTTTCAATTATCATGTCATCTCGCGTATCGTTTTTTTAAGACCATAGTAACCAGTTTCGGTCAATACGAAATTAGAAGCCCTGAATATGACAGGAAACTCAGGAAGAACTTGGAACTTGAGTGAAATTGCATAGCTAGCTRGTAGGTTTATGCTAATACAATTTAAAGTGCTTATGATGAACTTAATCTAAAACTCGGTTTGAGAGCAGGCTGAGGGTTGTTGTTGAATAAAGTAAGCAGGTTGGATGGAACTCGAAGTCGAAGTAGTAAAAATCTGGAGTATTAAAGAGGAGTATAAGTGTCAAGAGTTGGAGATTTGCATACGCATATAATGAGAGGGTTGAAGCGAGCTCGTTCGTTCGCTCGTCACCTGCTCGTCGCCAGAAGATGGGGAAGGGAAAGATCGGCCATTGTAATAGTTGGCTTTTATTCTCGAAAGCTCTTAAAAAAATCTCTAACTCGTTTTTAACAGTAAGTCCTTACAATGGCTGCCTAAAAGTCTTAGGGGTGGCCCAACGGCCTGCAGGGGCCACAGGAAGCCCAAATGCTTAAATTACACTTATTACAACAGCCATTAGGTTACCTGAAGGAATCATTAAGCTTAATGACGGTTGAAATCGGTATCCACACGAAGAACTGTGTGGATGCGCACTCGCTGGTAACACGGGAAGGGTTTGGTGTGTTTGGTCATCTGCAATGGGGGTTTTGTAGACTAAAAAAGCAAGGGTTTACCAGCTGGAGTGCCGAGCCTCGTTGCGGGATCTGTGTTTGGGCACCTTCATGAGGAGTTCGTTGGGCCATAGAAGAGGTGGCCGTAAGGCTAGGAGCGAAGTGGAAGGTGGCCAAGACTTGTAGTATTGTTTTTGTTAGCAGGAGCCTATTTGTTTCTTTAGTAGTGGGGTTCCTGTGGTGCGCCATTTTGTATGTTGTTGGGTTCCCGGATGCAGTTTGGCAGACGCGTTGGCGCCAGCGTGGTGACGTCTTAAGTCACGTAGAGAAGGGGTTGTTAGGAAGCCAATTGAGTGTGGTCGGTGTTGGAATTAGTGTCTAGACAGATTTAAAGAGGCGAATTTTTAATGGTTTTTTTTTTTGGTAAGGAAAGCTATTTTGTATATTTGTTGCTGAAAACCGGCGATATTTTTTTCTGGAATTGTCTGTGATCAGAAAACTTTTCTTGACTTTGTGGGTGCAATTGTTTGTACTTTCTGTTGAGCTTTTGAGGCGCCTATTTTTTTCTCTGAAACAGCTTTAGAAAGGCCTAAGATAGAAGAGTTAAAAGTATTTAAAAAATGCTATAACGTGTGAGAAAGAAAAGTTTACTAGGTAATAGTATAATGATAAATGGAAATGTTTAGCAATGTTTGGAAAGACGAWTGTGTATTGCTTGGAGGCATAAGTAAATAAGATCCCAAACATGGGTTATCTAACATATAGAATATGTAAATGGACTCTAAAATAAATGATAAAATAATTTGATTAAAGTGATTTGGAATAGTCAACATGGTAGTAGAATTCTTGATTAAAATAGCTATGGAGGAGTGAAGTAAGACCCCTCCCAAAGAAAAATAAATACATGAACGAATGAATGAATGAATGAATGGATGGATGGATGGATGGATGGATGGATGGATGGATGGATGGATGGATGGATGGATGGATGGATGAATGAATAAATTTGCCGACCTTGGAAAAAAGACGAGCTTTCTCATCTTTAACAGAATGCTATAAAACGATAAATGAATCATTCTTTATCTATGCTAGGAAGTTTAGATCATTACGATCCAATCATCGCGTTAAGCATAAGACACAATCTGCAAAACTGAACAGTTATAAGCATTCTTTCTTTACACTTAT